ATTTAAAGGTAATTAGTCATTCAGCTTTTTAATGACAAGATAAATTACTATCCATGTATATTGATATTATTATTTAAATGGATACTTTAAAATTTCCTGCATATATTTTTTGTATTTTATTCTGTAAAGAAATATTTCCAGCAACCTCTTTTTTAGTTTTTTCTTAATATGGTATTCTCATAATTTGTGCATTGTCCATTACCCGTTGGCCACGCCCCACGACTTTGTCATTTATGGCTTCCCTTATTACTTTTGCCAAACTCAAAATTTATTACCATCTGGTTGTCATGTGCAAACGATGCTTAAACCCCCATTTTCCCCGCCCTCCACTGTCGCTCATTCATTTTAATGTTTTACGTGACCCATGCGAAATCGAATCGAATGACTCATTAAATGCAGAATAGACCAAAACAGGTGGCTTTTGGCCATAAGAGATGTGCTCGAGGTGAAAGGCAATTAACCATAAGGGCTTATGCCATGGAACGTGCCTAATTGCCAGAAAACACTACTCGGATTCGGGTTTTTGGTATTTACTCAGGCAAAATGGAAAGGGGGGTGTGATTGTGGCAAACAATTAGTTTTCCAATTACGAAACTAAAATGTTTGCAAACAACACAAATTAAATTCGCTTCAATTGCATTGTGGCATTCTGGCCCAAAGGAATGAATCCCATTTCTTTCTGGCAAGCAAAGTTTACTTTGCTCTTTGCCATTCGGTGCTGCTTGCAGGAGAGTTAATTTAATTAGTTTTCATTTATCTAAAGTACACGCTTCATTACATAATTTAACAATTCATTAGATTGAGCCGGGTGCCGTGGTGGTAATTGAAAAGCGCGTCACGCTCTAGTCCCTCGATTTTCCCCGGAATTTCCACACCACCCACCCATCGAGTCCTTGCATATCAGAGTCCTGCTCCTCATTTCGCAGTCTGGTTTTTATGTTCACTTTGTTATTATTGCCGCCAGACAATTGCTAATGGTCGCTGTAATTATCATTAAATGGTCCGCTTTCTTTTTAATTCTTTCGCCATTTCTTCCTCCATCCTCCATGCACCTACCAATCTTTTCTATTTTTTTCCCCATGGAAACAATGGCAGTGGTTCAACAGCTGCTGGCAACATTTTAATGCGTTTGTAAAAGGATTAAGCTGCACTTGGCTCTTTAATTTGATTGCATTCGTGAGTGATTCGGTATCCGTGAACAATTGTTAAGTGATTAAAAGGAATTTTAAATAGTATACACCTTATTAAGATTGCAATATTATTCTTTGCAGTAGGACATATTTCAGTAACTTCAATTGCAATAACTTTGCTTTCTTTTAATGTTAAAACACAGCAAAATAAAAATTAATTTGAACAATGAATATTACAACACATTATATTATATTACATTATAAAAATTTATATTTATATGTTGTATTACATCATTTCAATATGTCTTGTGGCAATACTTTGTTTTATTTATATGTAAAAACCTGCAATTTAAAAATCAATTCAATAAATAAATCAATATTTATTATAATCCATCATATACATTATATTTCTTAAATTTATTAAATTTACCCCTCTATCGGGACATAACATGGAAACTTCTGTTATTTGTCTGCAGGATACACGAATAAAACTCAAGCAAACACCACTTATAAGTGCTACACATATTTTTCCCACATTTCACTTTACGCAACCACATTTTCCAGATTTTCTCATATTTTCCGTAGCAAGAGGCTTAAATTTGGCAACGAGCATTGCGACAAGTCAAATGTCAAGCAACCATTTTGGCAATAATTTTTTTTTTTGGTTTTTCGAAGGGAGGCGGTGTGTGGAAACATTTTGATGTATTTTCTGGGGCCAAAATTTGATTTACAAATGGCATAGGGATGGCCCAGAAATGGAGTCCGATGGCTTTTTGGAAATCATAAATCCATGTTGCCCAGAACGACACAAAACAAGGCGAAACTAAACGAAACGAAACGAATGCTGAACCAGTTTTATCTCATATATCAAGCTTAATTGCAATTCAGGGCTGGAGGAGTGGGGCCATGCAATTTGTGAGCTAAAGAGTTGACCTAAAGGCATTGTGCCGGCGATGTCTAGACTGCGAAGCCTTGGGCTCGGGAGTTCGCAAATAAATTTCAGGCAAAACTCCCCGACTAGGCCCATTAAAAGTGGCCACAGACTGGCTGTCTCGGGTGCGTTATGCGAGTACTTTATATTCAAAAGTGTGTAATTTGCAAAAATGTCGGCTCAAGCTCCGCTGGCATCGCCCCCCAGCGACACCCCAAAGCCAAGCGCCAGCTGTGCTCGTCACATTAACCTGATGCCACCGGGGAAATGGGGAAATGAGAAAAAGGGGAAGTCGGAGAGAAGGGAAAAGGGCGGAAAATGCTGGCCAAGTGCGCATCGCAATACCCTTGGAGAAATGTTATAAAGGCTAAGCTCAAGTTTTAAAAATCACATTAAGCCAGAATTCTTAAATTTATATCAGGTATTGGCTACTTCAAGTTGTTTCAAATTTCAAATGGTTTTTATAAGTTCAAATATTTGTTTTTAATAACTCAATTAATTGATTAGTCTATAAAAAAAATTTAGAATATGTAAGCTGTTTGTATTTTTAATAGTAAAATATTTTATTTATAAAACTACTTTGAGTTCTTTTCATATGTCATTTGTTGATGAGTACCAACATTTTTTTTAAAAACTCATTGAAAATTATTTAAATTTCCTAAATATATTTAACGAACACATAAATACAATATATTTTTCCTATTTTTAACAGTGAAGGGGTTACACAGAAAGAGTTTATGTCGTTATTATTTTTTCAGTGTACTTTCTGGATGCCTTAGGCAGGCGGCTTTTTGTAGGTCGCCGACGACGTCCTCGTCGCTGAAACGTTGTTTCTGGTGTTGTTGTTGTCGCCAGGTCGCGGTTAATTATGTTTTTTGTATGTCCTTACGCATACCAAGAGCCAAAGGACGACGTCTTTTCTATGCGCCAGTATGTGTGTGATGCGTGTGTGTGATTATCGTCTCGGATTTAATGCGCACTTTGATGTGAAACATTGCTAATTTGGCTTTTTATGTTCTTGTAGTCGCTGCTCAGTGTCTCTCACACTCGCATCTGATTGCTGTTGTTTTTGCCCCGGCTTGTGGTTATTACTTCAGTTGCCGCCAATGGGCGTGCCCCGTTTTTTTGCCATGTTTAAAGCCGCATTAATGCCTGGTGACATTTTTAAGTCATAGCTTTGGTGTCAATACTGAGTACAAAAAACCTAAAAAAGACCCTTGATTTATTCAAGATTGCCACCAGGATGGTTGAAAAATATAAAGAAAATGTTCCTCTATAGATGTTTAAGTTTCTTTTAGGTATTTATATGAAAAAATATTTAATTTACGAACTATATATCACATCAATTAGTTTTGTATCTATTGATAATATTTAATATTTATATTCGTATTTTTCTTTTGCTATTGCTGAAATAATAATAAAAATTTCATCTTTTCGTTTGAAGAACAAATTTTAACCTTTAAAGTCTTAAAATGATTTATGATTACAGCTTATCCCGTACTTAATTTATCAATTTACTTCAATTTCCTGCCTGCTCAAGATTATTTCACCTTAAAGACAGCTCTCATCCATTGAACTCTAACGGAGACTCTAAGTTGGCGTTGTTTCAATTAATCCTCCTTGGGAAAAAGCGTTCTCGGCTTACAACGTCAGTCTGGGTTTTTTGCACCAGGGCAATTTGTGAATTGTGAAAATTGATTTATGGCATTTTCGCACAGGCATCTCACATTTCACTCGCCACTTTTCACTTTGCTGCCGATGACAGCCGACGCATAACGGCCAACAAAAACCAAAGTCAGAAGGGGAAAAACCAAATAAGTGAGATTGGGGAAAAAAGCGGCAAGCTAAAACAAATGGCAGACATAAATCCATCATCATCAACATTATCGTGATGGCCAAGAAGCAGCGAAGCGTTTGAACAAATTGACTGCAAGCAATTTGGGCGAAGAAAGTGCAGAAAAAATAAGGAGCATAATTTAGACAAATATTGCTCATACGCAGTGGGGCTCATTAGGGATCAGTTCGGATACTTAATTTAAATAAATCGACTATCAGTCAAAACATTAACCAGTTCGTTTCGCACTTCCCAGACATAAATTCAAATCAACTTAATAAAGTGCTTTATCAATTGCCATCAAGTTGCTGCCATAAAATAAACTTAAAGCTTAATAACCATTCTTGCCGCTGGCAGAATTAAATAAAACAATATTATACGTAACATAAGTCATGGCTGGAATCTCCTCAAATGACGATTAAATATTCCCCCTCGGTAAAGTAAAGATAAATTTGTTTTAGCTCAAAGTTTCACCCAGAAAGTCCAGCGGAAATTCACTCGCTTTAAGTTTAGCAATAACAATAACAGGCTAAAACAAAGTCAAGCAAACAATTGACATTAACTTTCTTTCACCCTCGGGATGACATATACAAATGTTTGTTGGGTATGCAAAACTATGTTGTTCAAGTTATTTTTAGTTTTGTAGCTATTGTTTTTAACAGAGAACTTTGTTTACCAGAAACACTAAAAGTACAACTTTATTTATAAAAGACTTTTTTGTCCACTCTTCAATAAGTGTTATGCTTGATGACGAAAAAACTGATTACTAAAGCACTGTATTCAAATTAAATAATTTGTCTTTATAAAGGCCACACTGATAAGAAAATGGAACACTAATACCTGGCTAATAACTTCAAAATTTTATATAAATTATTAAGCAAAAAACAATAATATTAAATACAATTTGTTTTAAATTTAAATTCATATTTAATTTTAATGCAAATTATAAAACTTTAGTATGGTGGAAATTAAATAAAATCTTCAGATATTAAAACCAATTCTAAGAATAGACAAATAAAAATTTCTTTTCATTTTAAAATAACTAATAACCGCAATGATGATTTACTACTTTTTTTTACCAGGGTAATAGTCAAATTTGGCAGATAAGAGTGGTGATTAATAATCAAACAGACGCTGTTCATTAAATTCAAAGCATCGGAACAGACAAGAAGCTGCCCTCTAATCAGCAAAACTAAAAAACAACTATTTGGAGGTAAACATTGTTCTCATTTCTAATAGTTTACCAGAATCAGCCATGAAATGCGGACTGTTTTTGCTTTTGGCTTCGGTGATTGCCTTTCAAAATCTCGCGGTTACAAATGCCAACCCAAATAGTCTGCCAGAGGAAGTAAAGACAAATCCATATTTAAAAGAAATCTATAATCAAGTTGAAAGGGTTGGGCGACTGCAATGGTTCAAGGTAAATCCGCGTTGTGTAAATTCTTTTCTCTGCTCTAATATTCTTTAATACTTCAGGTGGACCGATTTTTAGTTACCGATTACTTAAGCAAAAATGGCGGAGACCAATTGTTAAACATCAAACAAAAAATTAGTTGGATCTCAATGCAATACGACATTGCAATGAATATGGCAAGGGACTTTAATAACTACGACCTACAGTATTTTGCTAATATCCACGTTACGAAGCGAAATTATGGTAATCTTAAGGTTATGGACGAGCTTCACCTCAAACTGTTCGGAAATGAGGATTTGATTGGTAAACTGGCCAGCGGCAACCAGGTATTAGTTATATTAAATTGTATTTGCATACAAAATTAATTTATTATTATTTAATTTTATTTAAGCTGTTACAAGAGTATACTTGCCGATTGCAACAATCTCCCCAGCAATTTCTTTACTCGCTGTATGTGGACTACATCCACATCGAACTGAAAGCCCATTTGTTGATGGAATGGTCCTGGATGTTTCTCAGGAAGTTTGGACAGGGAGGATCCATCGAGGATGAAAGCAGATTCCGAAGAGCCTACAAGCGAAGGACGCCGAGCACTCTTCCCAGGATCATGGACCTGATGAGCCGAGCAGATCGATCCGTGTGGAGTTGCGATTCAAGGGAGCACTACACTTATACGGAGGTCACCCGACTGCTGCAGGGTTACATAGCGAACGAGGTGGACTTGAGCCCATATGGAACCTGCTGGAGTGACTGCGCCCACTACAAATCCATCAAGTCTGAAGGCGGCTTTGACGATAACCTAAACTTCGAGCAGCCAAAATGCTCTGGTCGAGTGTACGACTGTAGATCTGTCGAGTCCAACATGAAGGTTTGTTCGGCGGAGTACTTCTCCAACAGGCGTTACCAGTTCATCCAGTACGAAAGTGGAAAAGTGCACGGCAAAGGAGGCAGTTGCAGCACGAGGTTTCACAATGCAAACAGCTGGAATCGATGGGTTTTCTGGAAATGCAGCTACTGCCTTTGCTTGTGCGATGAGAAAGATCAGGGAACTCAGTCGGATCGCTATTTCAACCTGAGACCTGTCATCGCTGATGTGGAGAGAAACAGGTGAGAGTAACCAAATGGTTCAAAGGTTATGGTGCCAAGTAAGAACCTTATAAAAGCCTTTAAAACCACCCATACAGAGGTATCGAAAATAGGATTTTTCGTTCTTTCTTAAGTCATTTAATAATATTGCATTACATATAAAATTAACTTAAGCCTCATCTTACAGGGTCGTGACGGGCGTTCGATTTGAGAAGCTCAATCGCGTTTTCCACCTCCTGATTCAGGAGGGCGAACTCCAGCCATTTGGAGTCATCAATGAGACCACCCTGCAGTGGAAACCCGTGGATGGGTACAGCATAACCGACAAGGATGTGCAAGAGGGCGTCGACTTTCACATGCTGACCTACGAGAAGCGATCCGTAGATCTAGATGAACTAAAATCAGAAAACAACTCCATGGTTACTGGACTGCGGTTCAAGGTGAGAGGAACCCATCTTCATCTCGAGGCTCAATTCAGCAGAGTTGACTTTCAGAGCGGTTTGCTCATCGCGCCGAAAACAACAAGCTACTGGGTGTCTGGGAGCAACGATCAACCCAGGTGATTTTCTACTTATACTCGAGACTTTAGCTCAGGATTTAAACTTTCACCCATTTGTTTATTTTTACAGGCATAAACTGTCCCCCAAAGACGCCGAATTGTCCACACGATCCCCCGTTCCATCGAAACCTTTGCCAAGTGAAAACCACTTTATCGAATTCACCAATTCGGGTTTTGAGCAGGATGTTGGCCAATCCACGGTGCCATTCATCGACATTCAGGACGTCTTTTCGTTTCCGGCGGTACCTCTATCCGGTATTGGCTTATATTATAAGGGACAAGATGGCTTTGGTGGCTTCCTGGCCCCCAAGTTAATCACCTATGACTTCACGCCCCATGTCCAGCTGCCCTCTTGGGAATCTATGCAGACGTAATTGCATTTAAAAGATGTTTTGTTATTCCTTATTCCAATGCAACAGTCAAATATGTTGCAATAGACATAGCATTTCCAGCATTTCTTTGCAAACTAAAGTTTTGTATACCCTTGCAGCTATAATTATTTTAAAAATGTTTCTAATATAATAATATATTATTAAATCGTACCATATAACTTATAAACTATCTGAAAGGAAAAAAAAACACTTTTGAGAAAGTTTCATTCAGATTTTCAGACGTCTTATACTCATTATCAATTGCGCCACAAAAAGATCAGAAGGCGAATTTAGTAGATAAGCGTCTCAATTGATAATCGAGCAGACGTTGTTCATTGAATGTACAGAATCGGAACAAACAAGAAGCAATACTAAAATATTTTAATCTGTGATTCGAAAACTTGGTACTAACTGTGTATAGCTACAGAATCAGCCATGAAAAGCGTACTTCTTTTGCTTTTGGCCCCTATAATCGTCCTCCAAGATTTCGCGACTGCCAATGAGCTGACACGGGAAGAGAAAACGAGTCTGTACTTGAAAGAAATCTATAGGCAAGTTGAGAAGCTTGAGCGATTTAACAGGACAAAGGTAAGTTCTTATTATGCTCATTTTGATTCACTTGCCTTACATTCTTTAGCACCTAAGCACAGACATGCCGCTGCTTTTACCATTGGCTCAGACGGCCAGTTAAATAGGGGTATTCCAGTCGCAAATCAACTGCTTAGAATCAATAATAAAATAAAAAAGCTTTCCAATAATTTCGACCGTTTGAGAAGATTCACAATGGAGGGCTTTGAAAATTATTCGCTAGTAAGCTTAGCTGAGGAACAGGTTGAGAAACAACCCTTGGAAGTGCTTCACCTTAAGCTGTTCGGAAGTGAGGACCTCATTGGTCAACTGGCCAGCGGCAACCAGGTAATAAATACATTATTCCGATTTCAAATATAAAATTAAATATTTCTAATAGCCTTACTTCTATAGATGTTTAAAGACCTTACCTGCCGAACGCCGCAATCGCCTCAGCAATATCTTTTCTCGCTGTACACGCAGTATGTCCTTCTCGAGCTGAAAGCCCACGCCTTAATAGAGTGGTCCTGGTTGTTGCTCATGAACTTCGGACTGTGTGAGTCCGTCGAGGAGAAGAACAGAACTCGAGGAGCCTACAAGCGAAGGACTCCGAGCACTCTGTCCAAAATCAAGGAACTGATGAGCCAAGCAGATCCCACCGTTTGGCGCTGTGATCCAACAAAGCACGAAGTTGGGGTCACCTACGAGGAGGTCACCCGTCTGCTGCAGGGTTACATTGAGAACGAGGTGGACTTAAACAGTGATGGATCCTGTGGTCGGGACTGCTCCTACTACAAATCCACAAAATCTGAGGGCTGTTTTGACAATAAGTTCTGCTCCGAGCAGCCAAAATGCTCCGGTGGAGTTTACGATTGCCGTTTTGTGGAGTCCGACATGAAGGTTTGTCAGGCGGCAAAGAACTCCAGCAGGCGGTACGAGTTCATCCAGTATGAAAGTGGACTTGTCCACGGAAAAGAAGGCAGTTGCAACAAGAGGTTGCACAATGCAAACAGCTGGAATCGGTGGATTATCCAGGAATGCAGCTACTGCCTTTGCCTGTGCGATGATCAGGGAATTCACTCTGATCGATATTTTAACTTGAGACCAGTGTTCGCCGATGTTGATAGAAACAGGTGAGATGATACGCATTAATGATTAGAATGGTGGAGGAATGATCATTTGATTCGTATAAAATGAAAACCTAAAAATTGTAATCTTAATTATCTACCGCCTAAATAAAATGTAACCATTACTTTTTGCAATAATATTGCAATAATAATTAAATAATAATTTAATAATAATTAAAATTCAAACGTCATCTTACAGAGTCGTGACGGGCCTTCGTTTTGTGAAGAGAAATCGCGTTTTTCACCTGCAAATTCAAGAGGGCGAACTCCTTCCACTTGGGGTCATCAATGAGTCCACTCTTCAGTGGAAACCTGTGGATGAGTACAGCGTAACCGACAAGGATGTGCAAGAGGGCATCGACTTTCACAGGCTGACCTACGAGAAGCGATCCGTAGATCTGGATGAGCTGAAGGCGGATGACAACTCCGTGGTTACTGGACTGCGGTTCAAAGTAAGAGGAACTCATCTTCAACTGGAGGCTCAATTCAGTAGAGTTGACTTCCAGAGCGGTTTGCTCATCGACCCGAAAACAAAGTCCTACTGGAGGTCCGCTTGCAACGATCAACAAAGGTTATTTTCTGTTAATCTCTTCGACAATTTATAATATTTAATTTGCTTATAATTTATTTATTCATTTCAGGAATAAGCTACCTTTGAAGGACGCCCAAGTGTCCACACGATCCTCCACTGCATCGATACCTTACTCAAGCGACAACCACTTTATTGAATTTACTAATACCGGATTTGAGCAGGATGCTGGCCAATCCACGGTGCCATTCATCGACATGCAGGACGTGGTTTCGGAGCCGGCGGTACCTCTGTCCGGCATTGGCTTATATTATAAGGGACAAGATGGCTTTGGTGGTTTCCTGGCCCCGAAGTTAATCACCTATGACTTCACGCCCCATGTCCAGCTGCCCTCTTGGGAATCTATGCAACCTATAGATGAATAAAGTTTTGGCTTTCAATAAAAAGTTTCGATTTATATTAGACAGCGAAGTAGGAAGCAGCGTTGTTAAAATAAAGTATACATATTTCTTATCATCTTCAACAAAACAGCAACAGTATCAGACATAATATTAAGTTCTCCGATTCGTCCCAATCCGCCAGTCTTTCGGAAAGTTTCATACAGAATCTTTAAGAAAAAATAATGTGGTAAATATTTTTTTTTAAATATGTTTTTTTGTCTATTTTTTAAAACATTTTCTTGTTTGTTTTTGTTTATTTTTGTAAAATATTTTAAAAGCATTTTCCAATTTTTTTTTCCTGTTTTATTACTAGGCAGTGTTCAATGCTCAGCCATGGGAAATATGTTTAATAAGCTAGCAATTGGGCCACTGGAAGGTCAGAAGCTAATTTGGCAGATAAGAGCCTCAATTGATAATAGAGTCGACAACAATCAAATGCTGTTCATTGAATTCAAAGCGACCGAAAAGTTAAGATGCTAAGCTGCTAGCAGCAGCTGAACTTCATGAACTTCGAAATTATTTTGTTTCTGGCCACGCTGGTGGCCTTTCAAAATGCTCCGACTACAAATGCCAGAAAATATGAGTTGCTGGAACAGGAAGAAAAGACTAACCCCTATTTAAAGGAAATCCATAAGCAAATTGATAAGTTGGAGAAATTTAAGGTAAATAAACTATTTGTTTATGTGTTTGCTTAATGACTACAATTTACATTAGCACAGACATTCAGCTGCCTTTACAATCGGCATAGACAACTATTCGAATATCAGTATTCGAATCGTTGCTGAGATGGATGAAATCCATTCAACGATAGATAGGATTGACGATCACTACAAACAATTAAGAGATTGCGAGTCAATTAAGTTTGAAAATTACACCCTACAAAATTTGGCACATGCCCAGGTCAAACGTAAAAATCTCCAAGCCATGGAACAGCTTCACCTTAAGCTGTTTGGTAGTGAGGATATGATTGCTCAACTGGCCAGCGGCAACCAGGTAATACATCTTTATTATTTCGATACACCCTAAAAATTAATTCACACTAAATAACCTAATTTTAAAGATGTTCCAAGACTTTACTTGCCGAACACCACAATCGCCTCAGCTATTTCTATACACGTTGTATGTGCAGTATGTCCTCGCCGAGCTAAAAGCCCACGCCTTGGTAGAGTGGGCGTGGAAGATGCTCAGGATGTTCGGACAGGGGGGATCCAGCGAGGATGAAAACAGATCCCGAGGGGCCTACAAGCGAAGGACTCCGAGCACTCTGTCCAAAATCAAGGAACTGATGAGCCGAGCAGATCGCGCCATTTGGCGCTGTGATCCAAGGAAGCACGAAGTTGGGGTCACCTACGAGGAGGTCACCCGCTTGCTGCAGGGTTACATTGAGAACGAGGTGGACCTCAACACGGAGGGATCCTGCTGGAGTGACTGCGCCCACTACAAATCCACAAAATCTGAGGGCTGTTTCGACGATGAGTTCTGCCCTGAGCAGCAGAAATGCTCCGGTGAAGTGTACGATTGCCGCTTTGTGGAATCCGACATGAAGGTTTGCCAGGCGGCAAAGAACTCCAACAGGCGATACGAGTACATCCAGTATGAAAGTGGACTTGTCCATGGAAAAGGAGGTAGTTGCAACCAGAGGTTGCACAATGCAAAAAGCTGGAATTGGTGGATGTTCTGGGAATGCAGCTACTGCCTTTGCTTGTGTGATGATCAGGGAACTCACTCTGATCGCTTTTTCAACTTGAGACAAGTGACCGCCGATGTGATCAGAAATAGGTAAGACTGACAGCATCTACTATCTACGGTCTAATTACAATTAAACCTATACCTTTTGCATCAACATTGGACAATATATAATAACAATTCAAATCTAATCTTGCAGGGTCGTTACAGGCGTTCGTTTTGTGAAGCACAATCGCGTTTTCCACCTGCAGGTTCAGCAGGGCGAACTCCTGCCACTTGGAGTCATCAATCAGACCACTCTACAGTGGAAACCCGTGGATGAGTACAAGATAACCGACAAGAATGTACAAGAGGGCAGCGACTACCACATGCTGAGCTACGAGAAGCGATCCGTAGATCTGGATGAACTAAAATCAGAAAACAACTCTGTGGTTACTGGACTGCGGTTCAAGGTGAGAGGAACCCATCTTCATCTCGAGGCTCAATTCAGCAGAGTTGACTTCCAGAGCGGAATTTTAATTAAGCCCAATACCACAAGTTACTGGATTTCCGGGGGCAACGATCAACCAAGGTGATTTTCCACTATTACTCGGCAAATTGATATGAATTTTTTTTATAAATAATTTATTTATATTTTTCAGGGATAAACTGCAACTTAAGGACGCCCAATTGTCCACGAAATCCTCAGGTCCATCGACACCTTATCGAAGTAACAACCTGTTCATCGAATTTACCAACTCGGGTTTTAAGCAAGATGCTGGCCAAACCACGTTGCCATTCATCGACATTCAGGAAGTGATCTCGAATCCGGCGGTTCCTTTATCCGGAATGGGCTTATATTATAAGGGACAAAATGGCTTTGGTGGCTTTTTGGCCCCCAAGTTAATCACCTATGACTTCACGTCCTATGTACAGCTACCCACTTGGGAATCTAAGCAAACTGAAGTTTAATAAAGTTTAGACTTTCAATAAAAAGTTTTAATTTAAATTAGACAGTGAAAAGTGCAAATTTAAACACATATATTATACATATCTCCTATCATATACATATTTCTTATCAGCCTCAACGCGTATGTGCTTAAAAACATATCCTTTGCATTCTAAAGACTTATATAGGCCGAAATACTTTATAGTTTTAAACAGTTTTAAGTACACATTAATTGTAGTTTCATTTTTCTAATAATTTCAGACTTTTTTAACTTTTTAGAAGGTTTAATTTAAGTTCCCTTCTTATAACAATAGAGAACACTTTCAGAGCAGCTCATTATTCATTTGGTATCAACTCACCGAGAAAAAAGAAATGAGTGTCGCCATCAGGTCTGACTTTATTATGACCCCAGCCAGCGGAGCCAACTCCCGGAACCTTAACCCACTGCCAGAGTCCCATTCCCTTAACCGCCTAAGACTTCGGGCTGCAGTTTGGCAAAAGGCAAAGGAAAAATTCAGAAACCAAGAAGAGAACAACCATTTTTGTAGCATGCTCCACGTGGATTTTGACTGCATAAAATATGAAATTAAATTGCTAGCCAACAGAAAATGGCGCCTGGGAAAATGACAAAAATATGAGAGACAGAAAACTGCAGAATTGCCGCGAATTTCCCGCAACTTTACCCCTGTCGAAGCTCTTTTGGCACATTGTTGCGAATTCTCTTGGCGCTGCCGACTTGATGACTTGCAGCTGTCGCATTTCTTTTCAGACTTCTTCAGACTTTAGCAACTGCAGTGGAACCAAATGAAACGACTGTTGGCACCTGGTTAGCCACCAGGTGGATGTACTATACGTAAATGTGGATGTGTATGCGAGAGTTGGGATTTTATTTGACGGCAAATATTGCGGCTGCTCATGAGAAGTTCAACTAGCACACTCGAAACAAAATGGATTTGCAAAATACCTTAAGAAGAAAGCTAAATCTGTATTATGTTGGGCAAAACATGTCAAAGATATTGTAAACAATTATTTTATTTATTTAATATTTGAATCGCTATATATAGTGAAATTAAGTTTACCAAACAATAATGGCAAGTTTTTGTTAAAAAACCTTGTGCAACAATTATTTGAGATATTTGAAAAATACTTCGCAATGCTTAAATATTATGAAATTAAATTTATATAACAACAAAGTAGTGTGCAATATTTTAAATAAATCTTTACTTCATAGAGCTATCGCTTTATTAATGTTAGGCAAACAATGTCGAGCAAATTGTAAAAATACTTTTTTTAATTCTGAGAAGACAATGGCTGAATATTGTAAAAGTATATTAAAAGACCGCAAAGTACAGTCCAAATTTATAGAGAAATATCATTCCCAGATGTCAATTTTTGAATACTATAAAATAGTTTACAAAACAGAAATGCTGAGTACAATATTATTGAGGGAAGCTATTGTCGAAAAACGTTAATCGAAAAAAAATAAGAAAGAATTCCTGAGGAAAATAATTTTGAATCGCAGAAGGCTGCGTCTTTTCCTTTTCAATAATTTCTAAAATAAACAACTTTCTACCGATATTTTGTGAGCCATATTTGGTGTTGGCGAGGATGGGCGAGAAGAGCTTTCGCAAACTGGGCTTGGGCGTAATCCTGACGGCCCTGGTCCTCTATGCACTACTTTTTATGGACACCCAGATATACGAGGCAGGCGGCAAGATACATAATGCATTCTTTGTGAACACGGACGGATGTCGCATTATAGCCATGGATGTGATGAATCCAACTATAGCCAAATACACCGATTGGGAGTGGGAGGACAAGAGATTCTACCTGGAATGCAACCATCAGACTTGGTTTCGAACTGAAGTGGCCAACGGTAGGTGGTACCTGAAGTTGACCCGGGATATCGATAAGATTCTGGAGGAAAATGATCTCACACACGACTGGCAAATTGAGTGCTTTTGGTTCCGGATAAAAATTATCAAGCGATGGCATGCACAACTGAGCCATCGCACCAGGTTCCATTTGGAGTTTCCGTATGCCCTCAAAGTTCCCGAAGGCTTGAGGGAAATGCGAGTGCGGTGCATTAATACCTATACAAATAGATCTTTGAACGAGGATGCCTTTTTCTTCATACAACCACCACCTGAGAAGTTGCTGAAGAAAGCTCCTCGCACTTTAAAATACTGGAATGAGGAAAATAATTCGAGTAAGGACTCGGCTCCACCCATTTCGGTAATGATTTTGGGACTGGATTCAGTTTCGCATCTTAATTTGCTACGCCAGATGCCGAAAACTGTGCAGTATATGCGTAATAATATGTCGCAAGTGGAGTTTTGGGGCTTCAACAAGATCGGCCACAATACCTATCCAAATTTAATTGGTTTATTGACTGGCCTCAGTGCCACCGAGTCCCAGAAATATTGGCTAAAACAGAATTCTATGGATGGCTTGCCCTTGATTTGGAAGGAGTTCAAGAAGGCAGGTTACAATACCAGTTTTGCCGAGGACATGGCCATATATTCGATGTTTTATTATGGCAAGCCGGGCTTCAAGCACCCAACTACAGATCACAATTTCCAGGACTTTATGGTATCGATGTACATTTTGAGACAGAGCAGTTCGGTGGCCGATACCCATTGCGTGGGTGAAAGGACCTTCATCGATGTCCTGCTGGAGATGAACGATAGATTGCTGCCCCACAAACAGCGCTATCCGTTCTTCTCGTTTTACTGGTGGGCCAATGGATTCCATGAGTTCTTCAATTCTCCACGACTTGCGGATGGAAGATTCGAGCGATTGCTGAGGAGCCTCGATGACGCGGGAATCACCAATAACACCATCATATTGTTCATGTCGGATCATGGTTTGAGATGGGGTCGCTTTCGTAAGAGTTTTCAGGGCATGATAGAGGACAGTCAGCCCTTTTTGTCCATATTATATCCCGACTGGATGAGGAAGAAGTACCCGCTTGCCATGAGAAACCTGGCTGGCAATGCCCACAGCTTGGTAACCACCTACGATCTTCACGAGACTTTGAGACACATTCTGGATCTTAACTCCCTGAAGGATGAGCCCATCACCCAGAAGTCTGAGGAGTTGTGGAAACTCATGGGTTTGGAAACCCCCAGAGCTGTCAGTCTTTTTCTACCCATTCCGCCTTGGAGGAACTGCAATTCCTCGCACATACCCAGTGAATTCTGTCTCTGCCACAAGCAAGTTTCCGTGCCCATTAATAGCCGAGTGGTCAAGAAATCGGCCAGCATTATCATTGAATATGTCAACAAGTTGCTGGAGGAGTACGCCGTTTGCATTCCCCTGGAATTGGATTCGATAGTGAGTGCCTACTTTGCTGCTCCCCAAAGGGATAACGACTTCTACATCGAGAAGGGCCACAAGAATTCGTATCCTGAGCAGGGACCCTATTTCGACAAGCAGAGGTACGACGACAAGGACATCGTGGTGCGACTGAAGACCAAGCTGGGAAATGCCTATTTCGAGGGAATGACCCGCAGACAGGGCAGCAAACTCTCACTCATCGGAGAAGTCGTTCGAGTGGGGAACGATGGCAGCAAGGACAACGACTGCATCGAAAATCCTTTGCTAGAGCCATACTGTTACTGTGCTCTGTGAACTTTACACCTTACACTTTGCACTAAACACTAAGAAACATTAATAAATTCGTACCAGTCGTTATTCTGATACAATTTTATTAAGCTTTTGTTCTTTAAGTTATTTTCATGTTCCTTATATTTGAACATAAAACTCAGTAAACATTTCAAAAACAAAATTGTAACTCAGATTTATAGGAAACTTAGCCACAAATCTTTAAAGTTAAGTCTTTTCCGAATCGGATATCTGAGAGAAAAAATATGGAATTAATTGCGCTGGATTTAAGAAACTTTCTACAAGACCTTTTTTAAAAAATTCAAATTTCATTACATCTCTTAGAAAAATCAACACAAAATACAAGAGTCAAATTTAAATGAAGAATCTTAGAACACTAAACCACAAACCTTAGTTGGTATGCCTTTTCCTATTCGGATACCTGAGTGAAGAGTTATGCAATTAAAAGTGTTTGGCTTTGGTCGTTTTTCGACAAACATCCATTTTGGGGAAAAATTGAAAGGGGTGCCATCATCAAAATTTATAAAAAATCGACCCGAAATTAAAAGTCAACATTTAAACGCAGATTTATGGGAAACTAATCCAAAAACCTTTAGAACTAAGTCTTTTCCAAATCGGAAAAAGAAAAGTTATGGAATTAAATGTGCTGGTTTCGGTTCACTTTTCTGCAAACATTTATTTTAATTTAAATTTCATTAAATCGCTTAGAAAATCAACACATAATACAAGAGTGAAATTTAAATGCAGAATCTTCGGAAACTAAGCCACAAACCCTAGGTGGTATGCCTTTTTAAAATCGGATTTCTGAGAGAAAAGTTATGCAATTAAAGGGACTGGGTTTGGGTAGTTTTTCGACAAACATCCATTTTTGGGAAAAATTGAAAATTTCTAAAAAATCGACCCGAAATTACTAGCCAACATTTAAACCCAGATTTATGGGAAACTAATCCAAAAACCTAAAGAATTAAGTCTTTTCCAAATCGGATATCTGTAAGAAAAGTTATGGAATTAATGTGCTGGTTTTGGTTCACTTTTCTGCAAGGCTTATTTTTTAATTTAAATTTCATTAAATCGCTTAGAAAATCAACACAAAATGTAAGAGTAAAATTTGAATGCAGAATCTTAGAACACTAAGCCACAAACCTTAGGAGGCATGCCTTTTCAAAATCGGAATTCTGAGAGAAAAGTTATGCAATTAAAGGAACTGGGTGTAGGTCATTTTTTGACAAACATCCGTTTTTGGAAAAAATTATAAGGGGTACCATCATCAAAATTTCTAAAAAATCGAACCGAAATTACTAGCCAACATTTAAACGCAGATTTATGGGAAACTAATCCAAAAACCTAAAGAATTAAGTTTTTTCCAAATCGGATATCAGTAAGAAAAGTTATGGAATTAAATGTGCTGGTTTTGGTTCACTTTTCTGCAAGGTTTTTTTTTTAAATTTAAATTTCATTAAATCGCTTAGAAAATCAACACAAAATTTAAGATTAAAATTTGAATGCAGAATCTTAGAACACTAAGCCACAAACCTTAGGAGGCATGCCTTTTCAAAATCGTATTTCTGAGAGAAAAGTTATGCAATTAAAGGAACTGGGTGTAGGTCATTTTTTGACAAACATCCGTTTTTGGAAAAAATTATAAGGGGTACCATCATCAAAATTTCTAAAAAATCGAACCGAAATTACTAGCCAACATTTAAACGCAGATTTATGGGAAACTTATCCAAAAACCTTCAGAATTAAGCCTTTTCCAAATTGGATGTCTGTAAATAAAGTTATGGAATTAAATGTGCTGGACTTAACAATTTTCTGCAACGCCTTTTTTCGTAGCCATGTAAAAAAATCTATTGCATTTGTCTTGCTCCACCAGTCAAACTAACTTAAAACCGTTTTTTCTGCACTCATCTCAGGTGGTAAAAGTGCCTTTAATATCTTCTGGCCCCCACCAATTATCTGTGAGTTATAACTTTTGATTTTGCACGTCGAACTTTAACCAATTAGTAGCCACAACCGCTCGAGGTGAGGAGTCTTTAAAAGTTTGCCGCATGAGTTGGCAGATGCCAATGGGCAACTTTTGCCACCATTGAACGGATGGACAGAAGGATATATAGTGCTCGAACCATAGATGGTATGCAGGTGGTCCAACTGCGATTCCCAACTAATGGCATAAGCCGCTTATGTACCATGTACTCGTACTCGTGCTCGCAGTTTGCTCTTACTTTTAACCCACTCACCAGCAAAAACTTTTTTAGGATTATGCCAGATTTACCCCCAGCACACACATTTATAGCCAAAGCCATAGAAAGAGACGGTTAGGTGGGTGCGAGAGAGACAGGGCAAAAAGCGAACGCTTTATAGTTTCAATATTTGCCTTGTCCTGTTCGGGGAAAATCCCTTGGGCACATAGAGCAGCCAGCCCCGCACGGATTTATAAATGGACTGGCAAACATTTGGCCAAAAACTTTAAGAGAAACAGAGACGGAAAGCTTTTAAAAGAGTAAGACAGACAGATAGAGAGTCAAATGTTTGCTCCGTTTTAAAGGAGTTGAGTTTTATTGTTTTTGGCCAATTAGTCTTGGTCTCTAACCAGTTTCAGCAATCGTCTTCAATCTCTCCCCAAGGTGTCCTTAGCCAGGCGAAATGTATATACACTCGTTTCCGGGCATCCTTGGACAAAGAGAAGTATAATATGTTTTATGGATCACCATAAAATGTGAAATTCAGGAGCAGCATCTGTTTAGTCAGTCAATTTGTTCGTGGGTCGCTTTCTAAAAAAAATAAAAAATATTTTTAAATAAAAAAGTTGATCCTAGCATTAAACAAAAGTAAAGCAATTATATATAAATGCATATTCTGTTTATTTTCCTTTTACTTTGCTTTAAACATTTTTTTTATTTTGTACAGCTCACTGATTCACTCTTGTTCGAATTAATAGTTCTTATAACATCGTCATATTTTATTTTATATAAATAATATATTTCTAAAAAATCCCAAAACAATAGAGTACTTAAAGCTTCGACTTACCCTTGATTTAGTTTGCTTATGTTCATTTTGCGTGTGAAACTGAGAAAGTGAAGATAGCCGGCGAAAATTCCATTTTGCGTGCTTAAGTTGCTTCTAAAATGATTTATGTGCCGAGTTTATTTATTGCACCTCAATGAATACAAATTTAAATGTTTTACAAAATTCGCAAAATTCAACGGTCGTCAGTGGAGGCAGACAAACATCCGGCTGAAAAAATGTTCACTGATAATCGAATTGGAAAGCGGAAAATGAAAATGGAAACTGCCAACTGGAACATAAAATGCATACAAAGCTTCAATTGCTGAAACTTCCCAAAAAATAGATATATATATATGTTTATGTGGATTATGTTATTTATGGTTGACTGGGAAGAAATGGGATCAGCAAACAAAAAAATGTATAGATATAAATTTGCCAAACGGATGCTTTGTTGGGCACAAGAGGATACATTTTGTGCATTCGTTTGGAAGGATTTCAACTCTCCTTCTGCCTGTTCAAACAGATTGCGAATAATGCGATTTAAATTATGCAAGCGGAAGGAACGAATTTTAAGAAAATGAATATAAATCGACATATATATCCGAAAAAATATCTTAATAAGCTCTACGAGCTCTACTTAACTTAATGTTAATTTCTTTAAAAATTAAACCTTTTAATTCCACTCTTCAGTTGAGAAAATATATAGAAGTTCGCTTTCAGAAGTCATGGTTAATTAAATTCAAAACTTAACCTCCGATCTCCTTGCTTGAATATTTATATGTTTCTGGTTCGTTAGTTAAGGAATCAAATATTTGTGTAATTCTTTGGATAGATTTAATGTAGAAATGGGCAAGCCCCATAAAATACTCAATAAACCGCATTAAATCCTCAATAAGCCACTGATAATTGCCCAGCTAAGCTCAATATTAATATCATACAATTTTGTGCTTCAGCTAATCAAATTAAACTATTCTCTCTGTTATAACAACCACATCTGGAAATGGCTTTCATGAAACGAACAAATTATTTCCATCAGTTATTAGAAAACCGCACAAAGAAGCAGCAAGCCAGGAAAAAGGATAACTGAAGCAGACAAGGACAATTACAGGGAGTCCCACTGAAGAGGAGTGTCAGGATGGAAGTGAAATGGCAGGATGACCACAGCAACCACAGCAGTTCATGATGATGAGGATGCTGAAAACTGAAACAGGAGCAGGTCAAGTGGATCTGCAAATGAGCAGGAAAACTAAAGGCGAAATTGTGGAAGAAAGCCACAGATATCAACAAGGCAACTAATTGTCCAGGCTATAGCCACCATAATCTGCGTGATTGGTTAAACATTTTCAATATTTCCTGAAAACAGCAGTTTTCCCTCCACACAGAACTGAATTTCCCAAAGGAAACCCTGAAGAATAAAACTCCCACCACCTTTTCCTTGTTTTCCTGGCAATTCCAAACAATAAGTTGCCATTTTACTGCCGAATGCTTAACCTTGTCCTCAATCGTAAAGGGAGCAGTCGACTCCTATTTTCCCTCGCTTTTCCTCCAGATGTTGCCCAAGATTATTTTCACCATTTTCTTTGTGCCCTTTGTTCGGTTCCCTAGAAAAGGAAAAATTCAGCAGGAGTTTGAGTAGCCGTCTTGTGGGCTGGAGCGTAATCAGATATTTGCGCCACAGGCGGTGGCCAAAAGTAGAAAAATATCCAGCAGAACACCTCCATTACACCAAAAAAAAAGATAGTAAATTTATGAATAGCAAATATTTAAGTGTAAGGACAAAAGTAAATATTTGATTTTGCAAAATAAATATACCTATTTATCGTTCTTTAAATAATTTATTTTGTTTATTCAACAACATCCATAACAATATTATAAATAAATTAAATTCTTATAAATATATTTTTAAATAAATTTTGCACCTTTATGAAATGAAATTCGCCGCCCCATATTTTTATTTCTTTCTGTGCACTCATATTGCATTTGGGCTTTCGACTTCGCCGGGTGTTAAAATAAATGAGGAGCATTTAAGGCCAAATCCCCATGGCCGACCAAC